GGGGGGCTTGTCCCTTTTTCACAGTAGAAAGAGTGCTGGAGGTACTAACCAGAAAGACATCTGCCCTGACTACATAATAATCTTCTTGAGACAAAGCAGGTTTTCTGGCTATAGCTGTGCAGATTGTGCATAAAATTAGGCAACCAAGGGATCAAGTGGGGCTAAAATCTACCTTTATTCAGTTGGACAAACCCTGTACAATCAGGCTGTGACTGCTGAAAGGAGGCGCCTTTTCCTGATTTGTGCAAAGGCACCAATGGGCTAGTGCTTATTCTAGAGACTAGGACCATCTCTGCCTTTTCGACTGCCACATCTTTGGCATTTTGAATACATGACAGCAACTTGATAATTATTTGGGGAATGAAGGGAGAGGAAGGAAAGAAAGAATTCTCTATGTAAAGTAGCAATACGGGCAAAACTCAAGCAGAGATCTGAGATAAGGGCGCCTTTCTTTGTTTTTACAATGTGCACTGTTGGATCTGGAAAGTCCAAGCGAAAGAAAAATGAGAATCCTATGTTGTCTTTGTGTTTTTATTCCTATATCCAAAAATAATGATGACAAACACAAATTGTATTGAGGTAAATTCATCTAAAACCTAATTTTTATCATCATGACACTTACCAGTCTAGCCAAATGTTTTTAACTCCAAGAGTATATAAGATTCTTTTTAAAAATTTCTTTATTGATTAAGTTATTACATATGTGTCCTTATCCCCACATTCTCCCCACCCATTCCCCCCTCTCATGCCCTCATCCCCCTGTTGTCTGTGTCCATTGGTTAGGCCTATATGCTTGCATATAAGTCCTTTGGTTGATCTCTCTCCCTTACCCCCACCCTCCCTTACCTTCCCTCTGAAGTTTGATGGTAAAATTCTTAATAATTAAAAAAAAGAACATTTCAGATAACCTTATGAGATAATACATCTCATCAAAGGTACAACAGTATAAGTTCTACCTGTAATCCAATACAGAAAGTAGTGTGATTTTTAGGTTGGGGAGGAAAACAAAACTTCTGTAAACCTTTACTTATTGTATTAGTTTCCTATGGCCGCTGTAACAAATTACCACAAACTTGGTGGCTTAAAATAACAGACATTTATTCTCTAAGAGATCCAGAGGCCAGAAGTCCAAAATTAAGGTGTCAGAGTGCCACACTGTCATTGGAGGCTCTGGGAAGAATCCATTTTTTACCTTTTTCAGCTTCGGGGGTGGTTGGCATTTTGGCTATGGCTACACATCTTTCTGGTCTGCCTTCATATAGCCTTGTCTTCAGTATGTGTATCTTCTCTTCTGCCTGTTTATAATCTCCCTCTGCCTCTCTCTTATGAGAATATGTGATTGCATTTAGGTCCACTGGCTAATTCCAGATAAGCTCTTCCTCTCAATATCCTTAACTTAATCGCATATTTTTTCCATATAAGGTAATATTTTAGGATTTGAGGATTATGAAGTAAATCGATGTTTGGAGGTACCATTTTTCTGCCTACTATATTATCTAAATAAATACTTATATTCTTAGTTTTCATGGTTATATAGATTCCTAGAGGCCCAGTCCATGGGATTCATGCACTGGTAGGGGGCATGGCCTGCGGGGATTGGCCTGCTGTGGAAGCGCAGCTCATCCCGGTCAGCCGAGCGGCGCTCCCACTGTGTCAGTGCACTGACCATCAGGGACAGCTCCTGCGTTGAGCATCTGCCCCCTGGTAGTTAGTGTGTGTCATAGTAACTGGTCAATCGGTCGTTCTGCTGTTCAATCGCTGGGCTTTTATTATATAGGATAGTCATTTTAGGAACTCTCTTGAATCAGCAAAAATTCCTTACTTTAAGGAGATTTTCATTCAAAATCTGAATCCTAATTCAATTACAATGCTTAAAGAACATGTTTCACTTATGTATAGTTTGGTGAACCTCCTATACAGATTCTGAACAAGATAAATTTTTACAATTGTGAGATATTTTCTTTACAGATATTATGCTAAACTTCTGTATTATAGTTATTTCTGAGCTGATGATGCCAAAATACTAGGCAAGTACACATCTGACAAGCCACCCCTGTTGGTTGTCAAGTTCAGCTCACATCTCTGAAAACTTTAATGAGCTGAACCAATTGGTACTTTGCTACTGCCAAAATGGTGTGTTCGATTACAATTTTATCAGATAATGGTGGTGGTAAAATCTACTCGTTGCATTGACAACTACAGTGGAATGCTTAAAAGGTCTAGAATAAAGTTAAGCGAGAGATTATGGATAAAGTAAAAGGAGAGATGTTAGCTGTCCACACAGATTTAAAAGGAGCTAGTAATATAATACCTATATCTTTACACCCTGAAAGGTCATTGTGTGTTGTTCTCAGTGCACCCAGAGTAGAACAGCGTCCTGAATACTGACCTAGGCTAGCTAAACTCCTAGGGACTGACTCATGAATGGAGTGTTACACTCATTAACAATGTGGAGTGTGTTTTCCAGTGACCATGGACATAACTCTGTCTATTCTTCAGGGAAATAGATCTTCCAAATAAAAATATTTGGCAGATTGACTTATAAAGTAGTTTGGTAAAAAAGGAATCTGAGCAAATTATGTTTGGAATGTTATTTCATCTAAACCATGGACAACCTCAGGCACACATTAACAGTTTCTACAGATGGTTAATCTCATGTAAAACTTTGAGTCTCACTTGCCTTACATCTACAAAGTGGTCTTATTTCCAAGTTTTAGGGGCTCCTCACTTTGCTCTAATGTACTGACTGTGCCTTGATTAGTTGGGTTGCAACTGAATAACTGAGTTGGGGTTCTCTAATGCAAGTGTTTTGGCTGCTTTAACAGTAATTTGAACAACATGAGCAAATAAGTAGATTCTACTTAAGGTTGATATTAAAGCTAAAATCAACCCAGCTAATCCCAATAAATAGCTTTGATGTAAAGTAAACCTCTTATCTTGACATTGATACTGTCAGTTACTACAAGCTTAATAAAATGAGGCGAAATCTATACTTACAACAAGCAT